GCTGTTTTTGTGGGGAAAAAAAAAAAAAAAAAAGCATTTCCATTTGATTCTACAGATATTTTTCTTCCCTCTTAACAAGATTAAAATTAGTTTTATTAGCGTACTCATAACTAATAAATTTAAATGAAAACTGAAGTGGCATTACAGGGTACATAATAGATATAGTAAGCATTATAATGACTTTTTTTTTGTTTCTCATATTACATAGTAGCATTTTTTGCATAACAGTCCAAATGCTGGAGAACTTGCTCAGAGGGTGCTAGGCACTCTCTCTTAGTCCACAGAGATCAGGCAAATAGCTCCTGTGTTTCAGTAGTATTCACTAATCACTGGGATCAAGACACAACCCCTTCTACTTGCTCTCCTGCTGATGTTATGACTTTGGCTAAGAGCTTTTACAGAAGGCTTCAATCCTTCTTCAGAATATGCTTACTCTTGGTGATGATGCTCTCCCTTTCTCCACAGATACTTAAAACACCAGCGTCTGCATCACTACCAGGAGAATTTTTCTTTCAGTCATATTGCTCTGCAACAGATTGCTTTGGGAATCCAAAAGAAGAGAAATGTCTCATGTGAGTCTAGGGCTTAAAATCTGTAGGGGGCACAAATTCAGACATACCAAGCATGTTTTACACACCAAAAAGCCTCTTGCTCACTACACAGACTCTTCAAAAGCTCACTGAGATTTCTCATTCTGGCTGTCAAAAACATCAGGTATCTGCCTTCCGAGACTTGGATCTTTCCATGGCATTTGTAATTTAGGTTCTAGTCACTTATTGTTTTCTTTATCTTATTACTCAAACACGTGAGCATGTTTCAGCTATTTTAAATAAATAAAACATTTAATTAATTTCTCAGTAATATATAAACTTTTAATAAAAAAAATAAATCTCAGTGCTGAAGTTACCTATATACAAGAAGTAGGAATGAATAATTAATGGAAGAATATGCCCATACTGAACCAATGTACTCCTCCATTTCTATCACTCTGAACGCATGCCTGACAATCCCCTACCCATGGCCCACAGACTCTAATAATAATATGTATTTGCCATGCTTCGATTTTCTGATTAACAACAATTCGATTCATACTGTGTTTTCACAGTTAGACATAACATTCCAGAGAATTCAGAAAACAAAATCAAAATAGTTTTTTGATATATGAAATTACAAGAAAAACACAGAATTGTAGTGCCTGGAAGGGATCTCTAGAGATCATCAAGTCCAACACCCCTGCAAAGCAGGCCCTCTAGGTAGGTGTCCAGACAGGTCTTGAATATCTCCAGAGAAGGAGAATCCACAACCTCCCTGGGCAGCCTATTCCAGTATTCCATCACCCTTACTGTGAAGATCTTTCACATATTGGTGCTGAACTTTCTAAGCTCCAGTTTATGGCCTGTTCCCCTTGTCTTGGCACCACAGGCCACTGAAAAGACATTGGCCATTTCTCTGACTCCTACACTTAAGAGTAGGACATTATAAACATGAATAAGATTCCTTCTCAGTCTCCTTTTCACAAAGCTGAACAGATCCAAGTTAACCAGCCTTTCCTTGTAGAAGAGATGCTCCAGTCATAGGGGAGATGCTCCACACTTCACTAAAATACATTACTGAGAAGAAATCAATAAACATTTTGTGGATTGTTGACTAAAAATATTATGATAAAGACTTCTAGTATGGGTGCTAAAAATTTGAAATGAAATACATATATTATCAGTCATCAAGACAACATAACTATTATGAAGACATTCATTTTTAGAGACAAGCATGTTTGAGATGCACAGTAAGATAGCAAAAGAGATCAAAATTAGAATGAGTTAATTCACAAAAAGTACTGTGTGTATAAAACAATGGCAGGATGATTTGGCAGCAGTAGAGGGAAGAAGAAAAAGTGGAAATGTCACAGCACAATGAAAAAGAGAAGCAATATTTATAAAATTCCATGCTTCCATGAATAATCAACATTTAGTGTATACTCTAAAAGAGTACACTAAATTAGTAACTCTGTATAAAGTAACATTTGACACTGTTTAAGATACAGGTGATCAACAGGCTGAATAAGATACCATCCTTGTACACCAAAGGCTTCAGATCCCAGAAAAGAAGACTTACACAGTTCACAGACTCCCTAGCTAATCCAGTAAACATCTGCAGTAGGAATCACAGTCAGCTGTAGCAAATGGCTGCCTACAGGGAGAGTCAACAAACCTTACTTTTATTTATCAAAGAATGCCTCAGAAGGCAATGGCAACTGAGTAGTACTGTTGCTGACTGTGAAACTGTAGCCTCAGTGTTGGGAAACAGATGGGAAGTTGGAAAAAATTGCTTGAAGTGGGACAGGATTGACAGTTTCTCAAACTAACATTGTATTTCAAGCTCAGGTAATATCAAACTAATTTATGAGTTTCAGTGACTGAAGAGCAATGCAAGAGATAAACATCTGTCAGGCTGAACCTAAGACTGAATTTTATATTTGTTTCATTAAATACTTTTTCATGATCTAAATTTTTTTTCTATTTTGCTTATAAGTTTGCTTAATACTTTGCGATGAATACAAATCAAATGAATTTACTGTAAAAAAATTTTCTGAAGCATCTATATTTAGAACATATCTAAAGTCAATGGGACTTACATGCTTTTCTGCAAGTCTGCTAGGTACTAGTATAAGAAGACTGTAAGGATGGATGTTTGGGATAACAGCAGTTGTCCATCTAGTCCAGAAGATAAAATCAATTAACTAGTCAAAATGAGATGACTAGATAATATGAATCACAGAATTGTACTGAGATCATCAAGTCCAACCCCTGAATACAGGATGAGCATATTCATTTAATGCTGACTAGATCTGATTAACACTGTTTTTTTCCATGTTCTGTTGCCTTTAAGCCTATCTAGTGTGAGAATGGTGTTTGAATTTGGGAAAGATCTCCTTCCAGAAGAGACACTGATCTAGCAAAGTGGCAATGACAAGAACATGGCCCCTTCCAATTACCTTATTTCTGGACAAATTTCCACAGTGACAGGCTTACTAGATCTCAACGCACACAAATCCTAGAAAATGCAACACATTTCCTTTAAGTTAATACAAAAAAGTACTAAGAAGAGCACTCCTTCACTCCATCTTCCACCCATATAAACAAGCAGTGAAGAAAATAGCTTGAATCACCTCTAAAGCTTACTCGGAACTGGGAGCGAAGACTTGTACCTCAGTTGTCTATTAAGCATACAGGAGATAGAAATGAGATAGAAAGAATAATACAATTTCTTTAAAGAGCTTGTGAAAGATGAAAGAAATGTAAGCTTTCTAAGGGAAATGAAAATAGCAGAAGAATTTTCCTTAGTCACCAGTAGGCAGATATTCAGCAAGTGGGATATTTTCATGTGATATGCCTTGCAAATACTATCCATTGCCTTGCTGGTAATACTGAACTTTCAAATATCTTATTCCTGTGAAAGTAATGATTTAATAAAATGTATCAATTTCTAATTATTAATTTTCCCTTATTTTTGGATTTCAGTTCATGAATGCCAAATATGAAGACTTAGTGTAGTCTGATATGCATACAAATATATAGAGAATGGATGTCATGCAGATGTGTTGAAAATACATTTTATTTTGAACACATCAAAATCAAAGCTCAGGAAAACAATTGAAAAAAAAATGATTTACTGAGCATTGACAGACCTCTTTGTGATAGATATTCAAATTGATCTGTGAAGGGGAAATATTCTAATACATAATGAGCCTTACTGAACATACTTAATCTCAGCATACTAAGTTTATTCATAATCTTTCCTCCCACAACTTCTTTAAAACCATGGTTGACAACTAAATCGCATTGTATTTATGGAATTCTACATGTTGTTGCAAGTTTCTCACTAACTTTAGTAGTCACAGACATTTATGTATTTAGAGAGAACTAGCATCTAAATTTCATTTGATTCTTCAAGCCAGTTTTTGGATGTGCATTTTTCAATCCAAGATACTACAAGAGTGAGTTTAGGATAGTATACTCAGTGGTAATGCAACCCGGAAGCAGTCTTGCAGATAACTATAAAAATGCCACGAATTTCAAGAAAAAATTGTCAGTACTGAGAGGAATTATATTCTTTCAACTTATAGGGCTGTATGTAAACAACATAAATATGAAGTCAATACTTTGGTAAATAATTGTACAGATAGTATGTATAGTATGTACAGAAAAACACCCAAAGGAGTAATTTGGAGAAAGCAAGATACAGCATATTGATTTTACTTGGTGATTACAGCGTAAATGCATTCACATTACATAGTATTCATGGGGCTCTCAGTATCACAGTTTTTAAAGACTGAGACCGGCAAGAGAGTGATTGATTGAGACAAAGAAGCATTCTCAACTGTAGATGCAAAATAGTTCAAAATTTCTCCAAATAAAACCTGCTAAGTGACAAATAGTAACTTCAAACTTCACTACTATGCTAAACATCATACGACTTGAATGTTTTATATGAGGAGTGAATTTTGACTAAAAAATATGAATTTTTTATATGAGGAGTTATCTTGACCCTCAAATTAAATAGTTTGATTACTCCTTTTATTTTTATTCCTTCCTAAGTCTGCAGGTAGTTGTGAATGTTGCTTGTGAAAAGCCTAGAACTGAACAAAACAAGTGGAATGAATTGAAGTATTTAAGGGAGTGAAAAACCTTTGTAATTTATTAATTTATTCAAGACTTTTACAAAACTTTACAATTTAATTATTGGAAGATTACAGAACTGCTTCAGTGCTTCCGTACTGAGTTAAATAAACTGTACGTGCAAGGAGTAATAAATGAAATTGTTAATTTCAGTGCATCCTTAGGGAATAGTAAAGGGGGAGGGTTTACATTATTTAGAGCTCCAAATGGATTTGAGTTTATATACAGCAATAAATCTTAACTACATTGTTAATTAACCCTGTCTCAAGCCCCTTTTTACCTTAGGGGTTGAAAGACAACACAGTGTCTGTTAGGATAACTCACCATTCATGTTCTTAAAGATGTTTAGGACTGGGAGGATTTGCCGATAATAGGGCACTAAGGCTTCTCCCACCATGTCTGCTGATACCACCAGGTGCTGGAGGACTTTCAGTGTGATGCAGATGACCTGTCGGTTTCGAAGGCTCAGTGCATCTGTGATGTATAAAGAACAACAGTCACAAAGCAGAATTAATTTTTAAAATGTAGAGTGAGGGGGAGGAGTACTTTAATGGGCAAATTTAATTAAATTGTGTTCTGCTGGGGATTGTAAGTGAGCCTTTATTAGCCCAGCTCTGAAAGACCCCAAAGATGGATTGCAGTCCTGATGTTATAAAACACTGCCTTGTCTGATTGTTATTTGTTCCCACAATTTGTGCTGACTCTTCAGTAACCCAAAGAATGCAGCTCATTATTCCCTCATGCTGCCTGTGTAATACTGGCATGGTCCAAACAAATAAAAAATAAATGTTCAATAAGTACCATTTGGGGCCAATGAAACTGTACAACTGCAAGACAACCTGCAAAGGTTGACAACAGATACATTCTAGTGCCACAATTAGCCTGTTTGTATTATTGTACCCATTCATTTCATGATCGTTTTATTCATTCAACTAACAATTCCTACTATTCTAAGAACCAGTACAATGAAGTAAATGTTTGCAGGAAGAAAACACAAAAAAAACTTGTAGGCTTTTTATGTGAAGACAAACATTACCAAAAAAAAAAAAAAAAAAAAAAAAAAAAGAAAAATTTTGTATTGCCTTGTTTTTTTCTCTTAGCTTTCAGTGTAGTGATTCTAATCTTATGATACTAAGACATTTCCTACATATGTTTTCTTTCTCTTCACTTTTGAGTTTACTAAAAACAAGTATCTCTCTGGTAATGAAAAATGCCTTCTGCTTGAGAAATATGCATACACATACACATATATACATATATATGCAAAATCCCTCAAGTTATAAGACCTTGTCTGAAAACATGCAGTTGGCTATATAAGTCGAATTTGCTGTACTATTACACATAGGTCTAATTTCTTAGTTTTCTGCTCACTTACATAGACATCTTCGTCACTGTACTGGGAAAAGCTAAACTATAAAAGATAAGCTCATATTCAACAATACATGTTTTATAAACAAACAAAAAATATATAAATAAATATAATATAAATATATATTATATATATAAATATATATATAAATGTGTGATTCAATGCAGTGTAAGTATAAACAATTGGAAAAAAATACGGGAAAGAATGCAATCAAAACTCTACGAGCATTAACTTACTAGCAACTTATTCAAGAACTGCCTGCTGACAATCAAGCTATGGCATTCAGTACTTCTGGCAGTTAAGTGTTGTCAGCGTACAAGAATGTTGTTCCATAGGGAATGAGGTAGTATCCTCACTCAAGAACAGCATCACTTTTTTCATCTCTTAAAGTAAATATAGTGTGCCACACTCTCTCCTGCTCCTTACACCTGTTGAGTGTTAAAAAATCAGAGCTAGAGCTCTGAAGCAAGGGCAAAGCAGGCTGGTTGTAAAAATTTGTTAAAAAAACTCTTGAAAATCAGCTAGTAAATAATCTATTTTCCTTACTCTTTCCATGCTTATGAAGAGCATGCTAAAGCTACTGTTAAGCAACCAAGTTAGGGAGCCCAAGGTATAAATGATTCTAAGATAAAGAAGTGCCATTAAATGAAATTACAGATTGGCTTCCATAATTTCTTATTTGCTGGTTCCTAGTGGACTCATCAGGCTACACGTAATGCCATGATGTTCCTGGGCGTATTCACAAGTGGACAAAAAGTCCATCAATTCAGTTTGCTTCCAGGTAACAGGAACAGGCATTGTACATTTTCTTAACAAAGTGATTGAAAGAGGAAGCATATCATTTGCAGCGTATGTTTATTCATAACTTAACTGTCATACCCAGAAATGCTAGCTAAATGAACTGATAGGGAAATAATCAGTAACACATATACTTTTCAGCACAATAATTATTGTAAAACTTAACCAATGGCAGAAATCACAAATTCTTAATTCTTAAGCAATAAACTGCACCTAATTCCAAGAATGGTTTTTCCTGACTGTAGAAGCTGGCCCAGAGGTTAAGGGCTCTTATTTTTAGGCACATAGAGAGTATCATGTACACAGAAACGGTTACCCAAGCACTTCAAGAAAAAGCTCTTTATCTGCAGGTGTTGGCTTCCAAAAGTTTTCACAGTTTCCCATGTTCAGACTTGTGTCCTATGTGAAGATAACCCTCATTTGGTGGAAGCTGGCATTATGCCAGTAAAATTCCTTAATAAAGTCAAAAATATGATTTATATCTCCTGACTAAGGAGTCCCAGCTCTTACAGCAAACCAAATGCATACTGAATTCAGAAGTCTTCACAGAACCTATTGTGAAAGTTTCCTTAACTTAGAGTTGTACTACAGGTATACCTACAAGAACTTTAAAAAGTAATATTGGCACTTTTTTCACCTTCATTCCAGAACATTTGTTGGATACTTGTTCCACCTCCCTCAACACAAGGTTCTCCCATCCATCATGTAACATGCAAAACAAATATGAAGAAACAGAATTTGGGTCAAGAATTTGAGTGCCAAAATAGAGGATACAGTAGAATCAAACAGACTGCGGAATTTGAGCCTGAAACCCTTCAGATTGCGTAAGTCTGCAGTGTGTGTGTTAGGAAAACACTTGTAAATATCAAAAGTAAGATCAAATTGACTGCAGAACTGTTATTATTATTAAATATTTGGACCATGCCAAGCATAACAGTCAACCAGCTCCTGGCTTTATTATATTAGGCACTGTATAAACATTTAATTAGAGAATGTCCCTGCCCCTACATCACTTCCAAACATATGCTTATTTTTAAAAATCTAGTAATTATTTTCTGTGTGGTGCCATCACTGCAGACCATTCTCCCACATGAGTGAAATGAATAAAATCCTAATGTAGTCTAAGAAATAAATACAATTCAACAGTTTGAGTAATGTCAATGATATCTGAAGGTTACCAGAAAGGAATGGAAGTACTAATATCCCTGAAGAAGAATTTAGCAAATCATTTTAAAACTATTAGTTAAGGAGAGCTACCTATCACTCAAGAAGGAAAAAATAAATTGTCTCTTTGGCTCAGTAGTTTCAGTGTTTTCTCCTTTAATGGTATGTCAGTTTGACTATTTTACTTGTGATGAGGCTGCACACTTTTGCAGTAGACCCTCTGTGTGATTAACTGGTTAATGCAAGTATACAATAAAGTATGTACTTTATGAATATTTCAATTTATACTTACACTTATTTTTTTTTTAACAAATATTCTCTGAAATTCTCCATTACATTTGATTCAATAAAAGTCAGTTTTAAAATGTTAACAAGTTGAATATCTGATGCAAGATCTCAGAATCTAAGTCATCTCTGTATTTCTGCCACTTAAAGCCATATGTAAAAAGTTTATCTGAAATGGCACATTTTTGTGAGGGAGGTTTTCCACAACAATGTTTATTAAAGCTTGTTCACAATATGGTGATAGACAATACCAATTTATTGATAGCTTCAGTGATTTATTCTTTACTAAATTTTATTGGAAATCAGCAAATTCAGAATTTTGTTTTGTTTGAGTGGAGATTTTTCTAAAGATATATGCCACTTATTATACATTTAGACGGAAGCAATTCATATATGCAGCAATGATTGCTCTTAAAAACTCAAGTCTTTTCCTTGAGTAACACTTGTAACATCTCAGAGAAGACCTAGAAGCTTCATAAGCTGATATTTTTTGCCAAATCAGACTCCAAAATTTAATTTATTGTCTAAATACTAAAATCTGTATTTTGATAGTTCTATTTAAAGTTATGTTGATAATTTATTTCTGTTTAATTGGAACTGACCTTTGATTATATTCAACTACCTTTCCAAGTACAGTGCTATGAAGCTATTTAGAAATTTTTCATTTTTTCTTTAGGTCTAAAACTAAACACTATAATCAGTTCAGTGTGCATTCTCATCTTTCCCTCTGCTGGTAAACAAAAATACCTGTGATGGAAAATTACTTCACTGAAGCCAAACAAGACACATAGAATAGGTCTTGTGCAACTGTGAGGTTGGCTAATGAGGCTGTGGGTGTCTTCCTGGAAGCATTCAAAGCCAGGCTGGATGGGGCTTAGAGCATCCTGGTCTAGTGGGAGGTGTCCCTGACTATAGCCAGGGGGGTTGGAAGTAGGTGATCTTAAAAGTCTCTTCCAACCCAAACCATTCTATGATTCTATGATCCATCACTAAATCACTGATATTTGTAAGAAACATGATCTAGCAGAAGGGAAGAGTCAGTGGTTTCATAGAAATTTCATTCTGCTTGTAACTGTAGTGCTTTACTAGACGGGCAGCTGCAAAGCTTGAATTCTATTAACATTCGTAGGCCCTGTTTAATTAAATAATATAAAGAAAACATTAAGAATAGAGTTTCATAAACCACATCAGTGGATAAGCCAGTTTACAGAAATCCCTCCATCCTTAGTATTCTGTCCCTCATGCTGTCTCAAACTACTAAACAGCATTGAGTATCCTCTCAATGAACACAACTTCATCACCAGTGAATCATTTTAGAAAGGATTTCAGGAACAATGTACGGAACCAAAGATTAGTAATGCTGGCATCTGCAGAAATTAATAGAAAGTATTCTGAATGTACTGTAAATCCTTGAAGAACAATGTGGATAAAAAAAGACAAGTAATACAGTTTTCTGAGACTTTCAAATGTATTTGACAAAGTCTCTCACTGATGACTCTTGAAACACTCGACTGCTATGGTTAGGAAGAGAGCAATAATAAATGGCTACTGGGATGAGGATTGATAGAAAAGACAAGAGTAAAGAGAAGGAAAAAGAAATAAAATATCTATATTATTTGAAACCACCTGAAGTTTCACAGAACCACAGAAACACCAAGGTTGGAAAAGACCTACAATATCATCCAGTCCAACCATCCAACTATCACTAATAGTTCACACTAAACCATGTCTCTCAACACAAAATCCAAACATTCCTGTGATCAGTTTTGAGCTGCAGAATCTAACATAAATCTTCTAATTGCAATTATTTGTACTGGTTAACAGGTACTACTGGAAAGAAGCATCCAATATTTAAGAA